TGTGCCAGAATAATTCTCTCAAAAAACTTACCCAGGATCAAGGTAAGACTAACTGGCCTATAGTTTCCCAGGTATCCCTTCCTCCCATGCTGGCCCTCTTCCAGTCCTCTGGCACCACACCAGAGCACCACGAGTGCTCATAAAGCCGTGCCAGGGGTTCCGTAATGACCTCAGCTAATTCCCTCAGTACTCTAGGGTGGAGATCGTCCGAAGCAGCTGATTTGAATACTTCCAGTCCCTCCACAAGTTCCCTAACTAGTTCCTCACTGCCCCTTGGCCAAGGTGCGCCTCCCCTGGAGTCTGAGAGGAGTCCAGAGGGGGGGTGGCTGTTCCGGCCCCTGCTCAGGAAAATGGAGGCAAAGAAATCGTTAAATATGTTAGCTTTGTCATCTGGTGTGACGACCAAATTTCCTAGTGTGTCCTGCAGGGGCCCCACGTTACCCAGAACCTTCTTTTTGCCCCCTATGGATTTAAAAATGGACTTCTTGTTGTCCTTGATCCCGGAAGCTAGTCCCAGTTCCATCTCCACCTTCGCCTTCCTGACTGCCCCCCTGCATCCCTGAGCAACCGCAGTATAGTCCTTCCTGGTGATGGCTCCTCCCTTCCATTAGGTGTACACCTCCCTTTTAGCTAGGAGATGCTCCTGGATGCTTTTTGTGAGCCATGGGGGCTTTTGTGCCCTCCTGCCCCCTTTGATCCGTGTTGGGATTATCTCCCTTTGGGCTTGGAGGATTGTCTCCCTAGGCACGGTGAGGTGTGGCTCCCTACCAGCTCAGCTAAAAGGGATCCGGGGGGCTTCCCCTCTGGATCCGGCTCAGCTGCATCCAGTCCCTCTGCCCACTTACCTTAGGGGGATCAGCTGCTGCTGCCCCCCGCTGCTGGCTCCGCTGCTGCTGCATCTGCCTTCACTTTGGGTCAGCTAAGGGGGCACACGTGCGTGCGGGACACACGTGTGCCTGAATCCGTCCTCTCCTCCCTGCTTCTGGTTCCTGGGTACATTCTTTGTGCAAAGTTTGATACAGGCTGGAGAAAGGATTTGCCTATAAATCTTAGCCTCCTATTATGCCATTTTTATATCACATTTTCATAGGCTTCAACCTTACTTATTGCAATGATATCTGTTATGAATGAGAAAGTCAACCATAAAACCTTAGTTCTGAACTCTATGCTCTTGAACTGCAAATATGTCTTCCAACTCACTTTCAGTTATCTCAAGAACTATAAAGGGCAATAAGCATAATTACTTAATGTAAGCTGTAAACATAAAAGTGGTATTGTAACTATTCATATTGTACATGGAGGAAGGAGCACAAGTTGGAAGTGTGGGGAATTTCCAAGGGGTATTATGATGCCAGTTTGCCTGCACATAGCTAAAATGCTAGCTACAGTTGCAGCATCTCTTAATGAAGACTGGGTTTAGCTTAGCAGTTTTCTCATTTTATTACTCAGCATACAGAACATGAAAGAGGATGACAGCAGCTTGTCATGAGAAACCCACAGCAAGACAAGGAGCAAAATTAAAAAGCAAATAAAACTGCACTTAGAAACAGTTCTGAACCAGACAAATGTTTCTAAATAACACTGTAGACAAGGTTCTTTGGGTAAATGTGATATCTTTTATTAGACCAACTAAATCATTGGGAAAATTGTTCTCTGCAAGCTTTCAGGCACAATCATAGAATCATATGACTGGAAGGGACCCTGAAGGGTCATCGGGTCCAGCCCTCTGCATGAGAAAGAAAGACATCGGGGGTCAGATGACTCCAGCCAGGTGACCATCCAGTCTTGTCTTAAAGATCTATAGGGTAGATGATTGCACCACCTCTGGAGGAAGCTTGTTCCACAGTCTGGACACCCTAGTTGTAAAGAAGTTTTTCCTAATGTGCAGCCTGAAACAATCTTCCAGGAGTTTGTGGCCATTATTTCTAGTTTTCCTCCAGGGCACCCTGGTGAGCAGTGAACAGTTGTTCACCGAGCCTCTGATGTACACCTCTGATATGGTGGTAAGCCGCAATCAGGTCCCCTCTCAGCCTTCTTTTCTTTAGGCTGAAGAGTCCAAGATCCCGCAGCCTCTCCTCATATAGCTTGCCATGCAAGTCCCTGGTCATATGGGTGGCCCTTCTCTGGACCCTCTCGAGTTTTAGCACATCCTTGTTGAAGTGCAGTGCCCAGAACTGGATCCAATACTTCAGCTGTGGCCACACCAATGTTGAATAAAGCAGGAGAATCACTAATTTGGATTTACTGGAGATGCATCGATTGATGCATGCCAGAGTTTTATTGGTCCTAGTGGCTACTGAATTGCATTGCCAGCTCATTCATGCTGGGGTCTATTGTTACCCCCAGATCCCTTTCATTTGTAGTGATGGTCAGGTTAGCGATGCCCAGCCTGTAGGTGTGCTGGGGGTTCTTCCTTCCCAGATGCAGCACTTTGCATTTCTATGTTGAACCTTGTCTAGTTCCGTTCTGCCCAACATGCCAGCCTTTTACTCCCTATGTAGCTAAAGAAGGACTTCTGGTTGTCCTTGATTCTTGTAGCTAGTTTTAATTAGTTTTCTGCCTTAGCTTGCTTAATCTGTTTTCTACAAGTACAGGCCCTTATCAAGTAGTCTTCATTAGAGGCTGTCCCAAGCTTCCATTGTTAGTGCATCTCTTTCTTTTTCTGTAGGAGGACTGCAACTATCCCGCTTAGCCAAGAGGTTTTTTTTGACCCTTCTGCTACTTTTTCTCCATAAGGGAATGGATTTTCTCTGAGCCTTAAGGACTGTATCCTTAAGGAACAACCATTCTTCTCGTGCTCCCTTTACCTGTCGTCCTTGGTCTCTGAGGGCATTCTCTACTAGTGACCTGAGCTTATTAACAGTTGCGTTTTTGAAGTCTAAGACTTTGAGCTTGGTATCTGTTTTGTCAGTCTTGTGACAGACTGAGAACATAAGGATTTCATGGTCACTATCGCCTAGGGTGCCCTCTATGTTTAAGTTGGTCACCAAGTCATCCACTTTGGCCATGACCAGGTCAAAAACTGCATTGCCTCTAGCTGGCTCGTGCACCTTCTGAGTCAAAAAAACTCTTTGGTGCCAGTCATGAAGGATCTTGATCAATTCAAGCTGGCTAAGCATTCCTCCCAGGAGATGTCTGGGTAGTTAAAGTCACCCATGACAACCATGTCCTGTGCACGTGTGGCCTCCATTAGTTCCTGGGCAAATGATACATCAAGTTCCTCCCCTTGGGTAGGCATCCTGTAGTATACATATACAGTCAGGTCTAGTTCACTGTGCCTCGCCCGGAGCTTGACCCAGAGTGTTTCAAGCTGTTTTTCTTTGGGGCTAACATTGGCCTGTGGGGAGGTGTACTGCTCCTTCACATAGAGGGCAACACCCCCACATCTCTTCCCTATCCGATCCCTTCCCTACCCTGAAGGATGTAGCCCTTTATGGCTAGGCTTCAGTCATGAGAGGAGTCCCACCAGGTCTCCATGATCCCAACTAGATTGTAGTGCACAGCAGAAAGCAGGAGGACTAGTTTCTCCTGCTTGTTCCCCATGCTTCTGGCATTGGTGTACAGGCACCTAAGTCCTTCTACTGAGGTCACTGGCTGCCTGTTGCATTGAAGACGAGCTGTTTTCTTAGCTCCTGTAGGAGTGGCTTGCTTGGTTTCATTGTTGATGGAGCTTGCATGTATACTGGCCCGTGGGTAGGCTCCAGGTAGCATTTCTCCATCCTCCTGTGATCTTAGTTTAAAGTTCTAAGAGATTGGCCATCCTGGCCAAGAAAAGGGACTTACCTTTCTGCGTGTGGTGGATACTGGCTCTCCTCAGGGGTCCTCTGTCTTTGAAGTGGGCACTGTAGTCGTAGAAGACAAAGCCTTCTTTGAGGCACCACCATCAGAGATGCCGGTTCACCTCATCAATGCATTCTTGCCTCCTTGGACTGTGGCCTGAAACAGAAAGCACAGAGGAAAAGACTACCTGAGTCCCCGATCATTTAAACCCAGCTCCCAGAGCCTTGTAGTCACTCATGATGTGGTCTGAATTGCTCCTGGCTGTGTCATTTTTCCCCCACATAGATAAGGAGCATGGGGTAGTAATCTGTGGGCTGGACAAGTCTAGGGATCCTCTCTGTGACATCACAGATCTGTGCCTCAGGGAGACAGCAGACCTCCCATGCTGTGGGATCCAGGTGGCAGATGTCTCCCTCTGTTCCTCTCAGCAGGGAGTTGCCTACTACGATTACCCAGTGTCTTCTCCTACAGTTTCTCTGTTGCATCGCAGCCTGCCTGGTAGTAGTTGTGGGTGTGGCCCCATTGCTGCACTCTGTTGTTGCACTCACTTCCACCAATGCCAGGGCCCTAAATTGGTTCCCCAGCTGCACTGGAGGAGTTCCAGCAATGTGGGGTTTAATGCTACATTGTCTAGAACTAAAGGTGACTGTCTTCCATCTGTCCATGTCAGGTCCCCTTTGTGTTGCCATCCCACCATTTGAGCAATCCTGCAAAGAGTGGAAGTACCCATCCATCTCATCCTCAGTGGCTCTGATCCCATACCGCCTGCTAACCTCTGCCTGGAGTTCCCTCACCTGCCCCTCCAGGGCTTAAATCCAGGCACATGTGGGATAGGTGAGGGGACTCCCAGCCATGTTGCTCACCCTGGACCCCCAAGGACCCACCAAGCAACGCTTGCAGGCAGGGGGCCCAGGTGCCACCAACCCAAGCAAAGGCTCCATCTGGGTGCAGGCCTCAGAGGAGCCTTGGGCAGGAGGCAGCATCGGGACAGGGTCCCTGCCTGCACTCTGAGTCACCATCCCCATTAAGACTCCCTCAGTGCACTCACCTAAAGACTCTGGGGACTGTCCAAAGCCACAGACTCCAACGTGTGGAGTCTCAGGCCCTTCCTGCTCTCTTCCCTGTGTGAACTCCAATGAGAGGGGAGGAAAACTCCTTCTTGATTCCCTACAGCCAGCCTGGCTGGCCCGGCTCCTCCTCCCTCTTCTCCTCTGCCATGCCTGGCTTACCTTGATTCATCTGTTGGCTCCTTGTTCGCTGCTCTGCTCTGTGTGGCTGGAGGGAGCCGAGGGCTCGTGTGCTAACACACGTGTACCTTCTTCGATGTCCAAGCCTGACTGCTGAGGATTTGAACAAACACCCTTCTTCAAGCAACAGGGAGAGTCTGTTGCCTGAAGAAGGGTATTTGTGCCTGAAAGCTTGCAAAGAACATTTTTTCCATTTATTTACTTGGTCTAATAAAAGATATCACATCTACCCAAAGAACCTTGTCTGTCTATGTCCTTAGACCAACACAGCTATAACCAACAACTCTAAATAGCAAGTACAGCTGCACTGTCCAGAGAAAGGATCAAACCAATAACAGCCACTGGTGAAGAACAAATACATAGGCTCTAGCAACAGGAACCCAGAAACCAAAACAGACCCGAGTTGACCAAGAATTTAAGTGTCACAATATCAGTGCATATTGTATGGCAAACAAAATAAAGGGCAGAAAGAAAATGTGCCCAACCTATGGCAAGGGGGAAAGAGATGTGTGGAGCAGAACTTCTTGTCCCAGCTACCACAGATGAAGGTCCTAAAGGTCCTAAACCTGGTTGAATGTAGTATCAGACTAACTGATTTGAATCAATTGGTTTATGAAACTTATGTCCCAGACCCACTTCTGGTTTCAAATTAAATCGTGGTCACCCAGCCACCCAACATTCTTTCCAGCCCTGGTCTGGGCTGTTCTGTCCACTCCAGCAGAAAAGGGTTTGGGGGGAGGTAGGGACTCCCCCTCCTACCCTACCCCCCTGCTCTGCCCAGGGCAAACCCTGGCTGGAGTTCAGGACTAGGGAGGGAGGTTAAACTTCCCTTCCCTTGAGTACAGAGCTGCCCTGCCCTGCTAAAAACTTACTGCTGGCTGTGACTGTGAACTACAAAACCCAGAGGCACTTGGAAGCAGAAAGAGGAATTGATAAGCAAATCCCAGAAACCTCAGGGGCAACAGGAAAAGGAAGTGAACACGCAGCCTGTGCTGGCTATGTGCAGGGAGGGGGCAGTCTCTAGCACCCCCCTGCTTCTGGCCTGAGTCACTGCAGATATTTGGGTGCATTTTCTGAATTAAAAATTAATGCATGTACAGTTGTTTCTCAGTTTAATCTCTGCAGCTTTAAACTAACCTGCAAAGACTGAATTGATTCAGCCTTG